AAGCATGTTACATATAAATCCACTATAACAATAATAAAATAATAACATAACAACTAACATTTATATAGTACTTACTATGTGCCAGGAACTGTGCTAAGCACTTTACAATTATCTAATTTGATCTTCATAACAACCATGCAAAATAAGTGCTGTCATTATCCTCATTTTACAGATGAGGAAATTGAGGCAAAGAGAGGTTAAGTGACTTGCCCAGGGCCATAAGCATTTAAAATAAGATTTAAACTCAGGTCTTCCTGACTTTAGGCCTGCAGACTCTATACACTATCACTCTCTAGCTGCCCCTAACTCCACCATGTCATATATTAAGGAATCCATCTACTTATATAATCAATGAATGATAAATAGGCAATGCTACTATACATTTTATGCAATAAATCAAACATGCTTTTTATCTGATTTTACCAATGGAGTGATGGTTTAATGAATTTTTTTATTTCATAGGTGTAGGTACTATTTCTACTGATGGAGATCAGAACAACTGTGAGAATAGTGTGCCTTTTCATTCTATTTAATTTATGTCCATGATTCACCATAAATCCTCCAAGGATGTTAGAATCATATCTATTTCCGATAGGGTCCTCAGCTAATCTAATGCTAGATTGTAAAGAGGAGGAAAGTGAGACAGAGCAATTAAGTCAGTTGCCTAAGGTCATACAGGTAGAAAAATCAAAAAATGGAAATTCAGACTTAAGTCTTCCGACTCCAGAGCTATTGATCTTTCCCCAGTACAACAGTACACAGTTTACTGGAGGCCTTCCTCTTCTTTTATGTCATAATGATACCACTTGGGCTGTGATAACTCAGTCCTCTTTCAGAACTTATTATCTTTATCCTTCATTATCCCTTGTATACAATTTTTCACATGCAAGTCCTTATAGTGACATACTAAAGCCTGTTTATGCTCAAGCTGTATTTTTACCATGAAGCAACACATGCTTATTTTTGTAAACTACTGATGGATCACTCTAGGTAGTAAAAATGGGACTAAGGTCACAGAATAATAGATTCATACAATCTCAGCATTGGAAGGGACTACAGCAACCTTAGCTCAACATGGTCCTGACCAAGAATCCTTTCTACAACATTACCAACAAGGGGTTATCTAGCCTTTCTTTGCTTGAAGGTATGAAATGAAGGACAGCTAGTTGGTGAAGTAGATAGAGGACTGGGCCTGGAGTCAGGAAGACTCATCTTCTTAGTTCAAACCTGGCCTCACAAACTTACTAGCTGTGACCCTGGGCAAGTCACTTAATCCTATTTGTTCCAGTTTCCTCATTTAAAAATGAGCTGCTGAAGGAAATGCAAACCCCTTTAGTATCTTTGCCAAGAAAACCCCAAATGGGGTCATGAAGAGTCACACACAACTGAAATGACTGAACAACAACATGAAATGAAGGGAAACCTACTATACTTCAAAGCAGTCAGTTGCAATTCTGGATAATGCTAATTGTTAGGAAGATTTTTTTCCCCTTTCCTTCAAGCTTCACATATAGTGGGTGTTTAATAAATGTTTCACTGAATTGAGTTGAACAAAATTTGTCTATCTCTAATATTCACCTATTGTTTCTTGTTGTGCCCCCAGGGAAAAACAGAAAATATCTAATCTTTCAACCACATTACAACCCACCAAAAAATTGAAGATTGTCATTAAAAATAGAGATAGAGACATGATATACCTATCTATTTACATATATATACACATATGTATATATACATATACATTTATAGATCTCATTTTTATATATTTTCTTTTTCGATAAATTAGTATAGCATCATTTAAGAAACTGAAAAATGATTAAGTGGAACAAAAAGGCAGTAAATCATATAAAGCAAATACATGCTATAAGTAACTACTATAGTTCCCCCTACCTCCCACCTAGAGGAATATAATTGTCAATTGCATGTCAGTATTTATAGTACAACCAGCTCTACCCAAAAAAACTTAATCACAATCAGAAATGGATTACATGATTTGGAAAGTAAAGAAATTACAGCATGAAAAAAAATTATGGCAAGAATTGAATAGACATTAAGCATTGTATTTACAAAAATAAAAATGTAATTGTACTTTAAAAAATTAGCACATCCCAAATAATCTCCTTCCCCAAGTATATTCCTCCTGACACACAATTCTAAGTAAGGTACATCTGAGGAATTTAGCTACATTAAGTAAATTTATCAGTAACTATCTCTGACTTACTGTGTGCTAAAGATGAAGAAAAACATATGAATGGCCCTCAAGTCACAGGACTGCTTATTTCAGACCTACTGTCTCAAAAAGTAAACATGCTTCAATAACTCTCAATAGCCTCTCTACTTTGTCTCTCTCTTCCCTATCAGTGCAAAATGACTTGGCCAAAATTAGAGAGGCGTATAAAATAATAAGGGGAATGTAGGTGTAAGGCATAGGAGCCCTGGGTCCTAGTCTATGGTCAGAAATGTACTAATGGTGAAACTCTAGGTGAGTCATTTATTTCTTTGGTGTTCAGTTTCACCTATGAAAAGAGAAAGTATTTATACTAAGACATAGTGTCTTAGTGAGTGTACAAGGGACAGCCTTAGAGTCAGGAAGACTTTGGTTAAAATCTAACCTCCGGTAACATCCTAACAGTGTGTAACCATGGGCAAATTTTAACCACTCAGAGCCCTGAGCAAGCCTCTATGAATCTATATTAAAGAGAAGTTATCTTCTGATCTGGCCTCATGAAGGAAGTTTCCACAGCAATTGTTTCCTGTACTAATGAGATCACAGCAGCCACCTCAAAACAAATATTTGTGCTCCCTAACTCACATCATCACTGGAAGGAAAGGAAATTGTGAACCACAAACACTAAGCAAATGCCAACTATTATATTTTTGAATAATAAAAGTAGTGAAGAATTTTTATTTCATTTATCAGTTTATCTCTACGTCTATCAATCATATTATATGTGCCTTTATATATCAACTTTTGACTACATTCAACTCAAGTGTCTCACTCCAGACTTTATCCTGTTTTCCATCACGTTGCACAGGAAGCCTAGAAATCTCCACTATTTATCAGTCAAATCAACTTAATCATCTCATTCAAAAAAAGAGTTTGCAGACTAGTTTGGTTAGATAAGAATTTTCACCTCCCCAAAACCTCTATTTATTAATAGCCCTGAGACTAAGTGCACATTTCCCAACACACAAAGTAAGTAGAAAACAAAATCAGGGACCAAAAGGAAAAACAAAATGCTTAGTAACACCAAAAACAGTTAATCTGCCTTTCAAAGAGATGTCCAATCTGTGCTGCCTCTTAAAAAATGCAAACCTTAGAAAACAAATAAGATTTGTATCTGTTCCACAGAAAACACAAAATATTGCAGGTATTCCATCAACACTGAGACTACATATAAAACTATGTCCACGTATACAGGTTCACAAGAACATATTTGATTTACATGAGACAGAGAAAGGCTTATAAGTTCTATGAAGGTGTAATGAAATTCTATTGAACAAGACAATAACAAACACTCAATACTTTAAATATTTATAATATATCTAACCTTTCAGGAGGGCAGCTAGGTGGCACAGTGGATAGAGCACCAGCCTTGGAGACAAAAGGACCTGAGTTCAAATCTGACCTAAAACACTTACTAGCTATGTGACCCTGGGCAAGTTACTTAACCTTGTTTGCCTCAGTTCCTCATTTGTAAAATGAGCTAGAAAAGGAAATGGCAAACCATTTCAGTATCTTTTAAAGAAAACCCCAAATGGGGTCACCAAGAGTTGGACACAACTGAAACAATTCAACAACAAATCTTTCAATACTTCCTAAGCCTTCAATGCTGTACATGTCATACATACATATATATGTATGCATATATATATATATATATATATATGTATGTATGTATTTGTGATGCATGTATAAGAATATACACATATTCTTGTACATGCATCACAAATTTTCCATGGACATTTGTTTCCTAACATATTTTTTCACTGTTCCTTTTATTTCCTTGTATTGAAATTCACTTTTGTGCCTTTCATTTCATTATGTAATAGCACAGTGTTAGAAACATGTTGAGCCTATTTTTCTTAATGAGACACACAGTAACCCACTAAACTGTAAACTCCTTGAGACAGCACTGTTTTGTTTCATGTTTGTATCTCCCATGCCTAGCACAGCACAGCACACTTGGTAGGTTCTTAATACGTATTTCTTAAATTGAATCAACCCTTAATGGACTTATAAAAACATATTCTATCTACTAGAGCATAGGACAGAACTAATTCCTCTCCTAAGCATGCAAAGAGTAGTCATTACTTCCTATTTGCATCCCTAACAATTCTCTACTCCATCAAGATTTCTGCTTGGCTGGAGAGAGAAATTGCCCACAGGTGCCTTCCGTATATGAAGTGATGACTGGAAACCTGCTAGGCACTGTGATCATGCAGGCCACTTTTAGCTGAACCCCCTTGAGACCCACACAGCAATAGCCCTCACATATTCACTCTTCCTCTATCACCAGCTCCAGTTCCATCCTGCAAACAAAAATGATAATCTGTCTCCTAGGGTCTTGATCTTAGGATGATTTCCCCATTTCTTTGTACTGCTCTGAAGTTACATTTAGTTTACTGCATATTGATTTTGTATCTATTTATCTCTGTACATGCTGTGTCTCACAGGAGAATATAAGCTCCTTCAGAACAGGAAGTATTTATTTTTTTGTCTTCGTATCCTCAGCACCTAGCCTTCTACCTGGCACATAGTTAACAATTAATAAATATGACTGAGTTAAACTGAATATTCCCACTGCATAGCTGTTGAGTTCCTTTGGTTTTCCAATATGAACCACAGTTTGTCAAGCTTCCCAACTTGGACAGATTTGTTATTTTGTTTTGTTTCCTAGGATCAGAAATGATATACTGGTAGACATCAGGTATCCCCTTCCTTATCAACTCTATCCTTGCAACAGAGGACCAGACCACAGAGAAAATACATCAAATACCTGAAGTGGTTCATCAGAACACTTTTCTTTCTGAACTGAAGGGGCAGAAAGTTCCTGCTGAGATTTTGATGGCTTCCTTTTGGCTTTTTCCATTTGGACATTAGTAAAATAGTTGACCGCAGCAAACTCGATGAGAGCAGAGAACACAAAGGCAAAGCACACAGCTATGAACCAATCCATGGCAGTGGCATAGGACACTTTTGGCAAGGAATGTCTGGCACTGATGCTCAGAGTTGTCATTGTCAGAACAGTAGTTATTCCTTTAAAACAAAGAAACAGAAAACCACGCTATTTAGTTTTATTTTTAAAATAATTAGAGATGAGGAAACACGATGAAATTTTAAAATAACTATAACTATTTAAAATAACTAACACAAATTTTAAAATAACTAAACAATAAAATAACTAAAACACAAACAAATATTAAGCTACTAAACCACAAGACTGACCTGAATATTTAGCAACAAATGCTATGATTGTTTCAATTAGTTCCTGAAATCCTACCTCCTCTGCCATACTATTCCTCTGAAACTAGAAAACATGGTATTCCCTAGAAAAAATCCCACAATTCAATCCAGTCTCAACTCTACACTGTAACATATTTCCCAGGGGGCACATACAGAAGAACCATGAATTTTCATATCCATTGATTTTTATATAGTTATATGTGTCTATATATCTTTCTTATGGTTACTCTGTCAGTCTTATTTCATATTATAAATTCCCAAGAGGATTGGCCCATTTAAACTTCTTTTATACATGACCCAGTAGAAAGTCAACCAAGAGATTAGATAGTCAAACAAATGCCTTGCAATGACAATGAGGAATGATTATAGAAGTCCAAAGTATCAAGCCCAAGGAAATGCAGGCAGTATTTAAGAGGACGATGCATTATATTGATGCTCCTATTGATAGCAATCTTGGGAGGAAGTCACCACTTCATACTAAATGCTAGCATAGAAATAGTCCAATCCAACAAGAATTTATTAAGCACCTTTTACATGAATACGCTATGGTAAGTACTGGAGACACAAAGATAAAATAAAAAACAAATACTGCTCCCTAAAGTGTTTACATTCCACTGGGCAGTTACAACATGTAAACAGATAAGTTTATTTATGATTATTTGAAAATGCCTGAAGAACTAAAACCTATGGCAATTAATCTATGCAAAGGCACGGGGGCAGAAGATGGATAGTTCAGGTTCATGGAATAACAAGTAGATCTTGTAGGTTGATACACACAAATAGTCTGTGAAAGGGAAGAATGTGAAATAAGTCTGGAATGCTGGGCTGGAGTCATAGATCAAGTATTTTGAATGCCAAGCTGAAGAAAAGCAGTGGTGAGCCAATGAACAGAAGAGTGTTGTGGTTAGATTCATAGTCAGAAAAGGAGAGGGAATATAAGGATAGGGTAATATTCACCCTAGTTTGGAGAACAGATGATTTCACATAGTTTAGAAAAAGGATAGGATGGAGCCCATGGACACAAATTCTTCCATGGAAATCATTTGAAGTAGGATGAAAAGCTCCCAAAGAATTAAATTCCAAAAGAAAAACAATACCAAAACAAAAGGGAAATACACTATCTACAGGTACTGATGAGGATGCATAGAAAATTCCTACACAAACTTAGGTTTTTCAAACAGCTATAGATTATGAAAGCAAAGCTAATGAAGGATGAATAGAAAAATGTGGTAAACTCCTCTAAGAATAGTGGCTGAAGTGTTGAAGCCCAGAATGAGCTGATACTGGTGAAGAAGACTAAGGATAACATTTTTTTTCTTTTGCTTTGTTTTTGCTATATTGAGTATCAAAGAAGATTTAAGAATGCTACTTGGAGTGGAATCGATGAGTATAATCAATGGCAAAAAAAAGACAAAGCTGTTCAGCTCTGTTTATTTTTCCTCTACCAAGGAGAATATACTATGTACTGGAAAAGACAAGATAAAGATAGATAACAGGAAAGTATAGAGATTATAAGAAACCAAAGGGCTAGCCTTGATGAATTCAAGTCATCTAGTTTAAATGAACTATCTCCTAATATACATATTGAAAAAAATGGCAGATTGTTTTCCACTCATTCTTCCCTTTTCCAATGGACAGAACTAGGAGCCACGTTTGAAAGTTACAAAGAGGCAAAATTATATTCAATGTAAGGAAAAACTTCAAAAAAACTAATAATGTCCAACAGTAGAATGAATGGGCTGGCTCAGGTGTTGGTGAGATCTACCTCCTCAGAGATCTTGCAGAAAATGCTGCCTGATGACTTACATGGTATGCTAAAAAGAAAATCCTTATTCAAAAATAAGTTTTGCAAAATATATTTTAAAGCTTTCAAGAGAAATAGAGATTAAGTTATATGCTATTATGGATCATCATCAATACGTTAATGATTAAAACTTAATTTATCCCTTCAGCATAAAGCAAACATCTTCCGGACCTCATAGTCTCTTTACCTTAATGATTTTCACATGCACATGTGGTAAATTCAGCATTTTTTAATATTTTCCCTATTTAACCACAAACTGACAAAGCCATAAAACTTTCCAGTTGAAAGGAAATTAAGATGTATTTCACTGTTCAGAAAAGAACTGTTTTCATGCTGACAACTTTGTTAATTAACACTGTCCTGCCAAAGCTTTTAAATCTTCTAGCTACATAATATGGAGACGAAGCCTAATTAGTCTTTTATCTTATGAAAGACCATCACTTTAATTAAAATTTAGGAGCAATACAGTTTTCTGTGAGCTCCATAACTATTTCCCACTAACTAGCTACGATCAAGTGCACTACCTAGAATAGACATCTACAATGTCAGTGTGAAGGGGATAGCTCAAAAAGACCTTGAAATTGCAAAATTCCCAATTAGTAAAACTATTCTGGTACTGAAAGATCAAGTGAAAAAATCATTTGCTTCAACTTTAATGTGATTTAATGAAACTCAGACTAAAAAAAAAACAAACTAGTGTTTCTGTGAGCTTCATTGTTTTGAAAACCTGTTAAAGTAGAGTATGCCACCCTAAGGAGTACTTTGCCCACAGGAAAAATGGCCCTCAATTTTTTTTACCATACTTTGGGAAGTTTCTGCCTTTTGGCTTTTTTCTACAGAGTCAAGGTAAAACAAAGAGGGAGGGTAATTCCAGTAATAATTGGGAAGGAGATGCTGAAGGTGACTTGACTGAGCTAGTCAGGTTATGTACACTAATTCAAGATCTTTGGATACTCGAAACGCAAAGCCAAGATGGTAGAGTAAAGGCAGGGACTCTCCTGAGCTCTCTCCCAAATCCATCCAATACCTATAAATAATGACTCTAAGCAAATTTTAGGGCAGCAGAACCCTCAAAAAGATGGAGTGAAACAATTTTCCAGCCCAAGATAACTTAGAAGATCAGCAGGAAAGGCTTGTTACACCAGGGAGAGACAGGGGTTCAGTCCAGCACAGCACAGCCCAAGCCCTAGCAAACTAGGAGCAGGCTTCAGGGTGATTAAATCAGTGGCAGCAGTGGCAGTTTCCAGACCTCTCAGCCCATGGATGCCAAAGACAACTTAGAAGGTCAGTAGGAAAGGTCTGTTGAACCAGGGTGAGAGTGCAGCACACAAGCTGCACCAGCTCAGCCCTGAAGCCCCAGCAAACTAGGAGCAGGCCTTGAGAGCCACTGAATCAGCAGTGGCAGTGGCTGCTTCTTCAGCTCTCATCCTACAGATGATAAGGAGGTCAAACCACTAGTCAGAAGGATATTACAGGGGTCTCTTGGCTAGCAGTGAGGCAAGACTCTGTGGCTTTGCCCATACTTAGATCTGGGTGGCAATCCCAGGACAAGGAGGAGCACTAGCACACCAGAGCCTTCAGCCACAGTGGAATGAGGACCCTCCTCACAGTTCCAAGTCAGAAAAGAGTGCTTGTAGTCACTAACAGACTAGAGCACAGGCCAGGAGAGTAGTAAACACCTCCCCTTAGATCATACCACGTTGGAAGAACTGAAAACTTAAAGGTCCCTAAAAGTATCTTTGAAAACAGCTGCATAAAAACTCTGAAGCTTGGGACAGTCACCCTCCATAATTATAATAATTATTATAATTACAATAATTAATAAATAACAATAAGTAATTAAAAAATAATAAATAATAAAAAGTAACAGTCCTACTTTAATAAAGAGTTAAAAGTCAAGTAATATACTGGGAATATCAGCTAACAGCAGAAAGCAATTCTGGCCATAGAAAGTTACTACGATGACAAGGAAGATCAAAACACACACTCAGAAGATAATAAAGTCAAAACTCCTACATCCAAAGCCTCAAAGAAAAATATGAATTGTTCTCAGTCCATGGAAGAGCTCAAAAGTTATTCTGAAAATCAAGTAAGAGAGGAAGAGGAAAAACTGGGAAGAGAAATGAGAGTGATGCAAGAAAATCATGAAAAAAAGTGTCAACAGCTTGGTAAAGGAGACACAATAATATATTGAAGAAAATAACACGTTAAAAACCAGACTAGGCTAAATGGTAAAAGAGGTACAAAAAGCCAATGAGGAGAAGAATGCCTTAAAAAGCAGAATCACCAAATGGAAAAAAGGGGCATGAAAATTCACCGAAGGGGGTGAAAAAAACTCCTTAGAAATAGAATTGGCCAAATGGAAAAGGCAGTTCAAAAGCTCACTGAAGAAAATAATTCCTCAAAAATTAGAATTGAGCAAATAGAAGCTGATGACTTTTTAAGAAATCAAGAAACAATAAAACAAAACCAAAAGAATGAAAAAATAGAAAACAATGTGAAATATCTCACTGGAAAAACAACTGACCTGAAAAATATATCCAGGGGAGATAATATTAAAATTAGACTACCTGAAAGCCATGATCAAAAAAAAGAGCCTGTCATCTTTCAAGAAATTATCAAGGAAAACTGCCCCAATATTCTAGAACCAGAGGGCAAAATAGAAGTTGAAAGAATCCACCATTCACCTCCTGAAAGAGATTCCCAAATGAAAACTCTCAGAAATATTATGGCCAAATTCCAGTGTTCCCAGGTCAAGGAGAAAATATTGCAAGCAGCCAGAAAGAAACAATTCAAGTACTGTGAAAACACAATCAGGATAACACAGGATTTAGCAGCTTCTACATTAAGGAACCAGAGCCTTGGAATAAGATATTCTGTAGGGTTACAATGAAGAATCACCTACCCAGCAAAACTGAGTACAATCCTTCAGAGGGAAAATGGATATTCAATAAAACAGAGGACTTTCAAGCATTCTTGATTAAAGACCAGAGCTGAATAGAAAATTTTACTTTCAAATACAACATTCAATAGAAGCATAAAAATGTAAACAGGAAAGGGAAATCATAAGAAAATTAATAAGGTTAAACTGTTTATGTTCCTACATGAGAAGATATTTGTAACTCCTAAGAACTTTCTCATTATTAGGGCAATTAGAAGAAATATATATAAACAGAAGGCACAGGTATGAGTTGAATATGAAGGAATGCTACCTAAAAAAAAAAAAATTAAAAAGTTAGAGAGGAATGAACATGGAAAAGGAGAAAGAGAGAAGAAGAATGGAGAAAATTATCTCACATAAAAGAGGCAAGAAAAATCTTTTACAGTGGAGGGTGGTGAGGGAGAGGGAGTGAACCTTACTCTCATCAGAATTGGCTCAAAGAGGGAATAACATGACACACTCAGTTGGGTATAGAAAACTATCTTTCCCTACAGGACAGTAGGAGAAGAAGAGGATAAGAGAAAGGAGGCTGGGGGGGGGGGTGTAATACAAGGGAGGGCAGATTGGGGGAGGGAGTAGGTCAGAAGCAAAATATTTTTGAGGAGGGACAAGGTAAAAGGAGAGAGAGAACAGAATAAATGAGAGGAGGCAATAGTAACTGTGAAAAAAATACGAAGCAAGTTTCTCTGATAAAGGCCTCATTTCTCAAACATAAAGAGAACTGAGTCAAATTTATAAAAATAAGAGCCACTCTCCTGTTGATAAATGATCAAAATATATAATCAGTTTTCAGATGAAGTAATAAGAGCTATCTATAGCCATATGAAAAAAATGCTTTAAATCACTAATGATTGGAGAAATGCAAATTAAAACAATTCTGAGGTACTACCTCATACCTATTAGATTGGCTAATAGAACAGAAAAGGAAAATGACCAATGGAGGGGATGTGGGGAAAATGGGGCATTAAGGCACTGTTGGTGGAGTTGTGAACTGATTCAACCATTCTGTAGGGCAATTTGGAACTATGCCCAAAGGGCTATAAAACCATGTATAACCTTTGACTTAGCAATACCATTACTAGGTCTGTATTCCAAAAGAGATAAAAAAAACAAAAGGAAAAGGACTTATATGTACAATGTACAATGTACATATGTACCACCCTTTTCTGAGGACAAAGACTTGGAAATTGAGGGGATGCTCATCGATTGGGGAATGGCTAAACAAGTTGCAATATATGATTGTTATGGAATACTGTTGTGTTATGGGAAATGATGAGTGAGATGATCTCAGAAAAGTCTGAAGAGACTTCCACGAGCTGATTCAAAAAGAAATGTACTGTGTACAAAGTAACAGCAACATTGTAGGATGATTGGCTGTGAATGATTTAGCTATTCTCAGCAATACAATGACTCAAGACAACTTTGAAGGAATTATGATTTTAAAAAAGCTATCCATTCACAGAGAGGGAAATCACGGTGTCTGAGTACAGACTGAAGCATACTTTTTTAACTTTATTTTTCTTGAGGGCTTTTTTTCCATCTGTATTTTCTTTCCCAACATAATTATTACAGAAATGTTTTGCATGACTACACATGTATAAGCTATACCAAATTGCTTGCCTTCTCAATGAATGGAGGTGGGAGGGAGAAAAGAAGAGAATTTGGAATTCAAAGTTTTAAAAATGAATGTTAAAATTTTCTTTTCCATATAACTGTGGAAAAATAAAATACTAAACAAAATCTCTGGACACTTCATTCTCCAGGTCTCTTTGGTGTATGTAAACTTGGCATTAAAACATGAGTTTGAAAAAGAGAAAGAGTGAAATGAGGAGAAACACGAGGGAACCCATATGGCCTTTGTCTTGTGGGTGACAATTTGAAAGATTAAGAAAGGGCATGGCATTTTTAACACAGGCTGAGATGTTTAAATCATTCCCCTTTCAGCCAGGGAAAAACACCTCTCTTTCTAATATTATTATATCAAGGGTGACACAGAGCATGTCCTTGGGCATATTTATTACACATCGATTTAGTGTAGCATTTGCCTGACCACACATTCGAGCAAATGTTGCACAGGGCAGCAGGCAGAAGCAACAACCCAGATTAGAATCAAACTATAGCAGCCATGCCTCTCTGGGCACTAGAAAGGCTGAGGTCAGTGTTCATCCGTCTGAAGACATTTCTTGGCCTGTGTGTACCCTCCAGATATTTCAATACAATGGTGTGCTTTTTTGTTGTTCATTTTTGACACATTTAAATGCCAGTGCCAATCTCTCAGTTAGAACATAGAACATGAATGTTTTTGTCCATAGTGTGAATATAAGCTGTATGTACACAGAGGTGAATATGGGCTGGCCAATCACAAGGGAAATAAGTAGCATTAACTTAACAGTGTGATAACACATTTCTACCCTCCAGCTGACATTTACTCACATGTTTAAAGTTCCCCTCTCCAGGCCTATTTTTAAATCTTAGGATCATAGAATGTTAGAGCTCTAAGGGAGCTTAGAGGTCATTTACACTAAATCCTCTTTTTTACTGAACAGAACAAGAGGCCCTGAGAAGTGACACCCAAGGTCAAGTACCTGTCCTGTTTCACTTTTTGACACCCTCTTTGACTGTATGTAGTAACAAACTGAAAAATGAAGTGATTGGACTAGAGGACATCCCACTAAGTTCCCTTCCAGTGCTAAATCTCTAATAGATGTAGAAATTGTTATGAATAGAAGAGCGTAATTTAGACACTGAAGAAAAGAAATTGCTGGACTTAGAAATACTATTCTCAACATATATTTTTTAAAAAGTATTTCTACTAAAAGCAAACTCCACTTGCAGAATGTCTGACAGGTCCTTCTGGTTATATAGAAAAATAGCTTTCTACCAAGTTAGTTCTATGCACTGTAGTTCTTTAGAATCCCAGAGCTATGAGAACTATGGAAACTCATAGCTCATTCTCCAACTGGGTATCATGTGAGTAAACTCCTCTCTAAAAAATGGGACGAGTTACCTAAGAGACAGCCTCGGACTATAGGCAAACAGGCTGAGATGCTCCAGAGCAGGGAATGAGACTATGAGCTCCAACTCTTTTTTTTCTCTAGCTGTCTAGTTACTTTTGACTTCCCAAAGTTAAAATTCTATTATTGCTGCAAGAAAGTGGGCAAAGGTTGCAGAGTGACAATCATCTGAGTCGTCGACACAAGAAATATGGCTGCCAGCTATAGTCCCCCTTCCTCTCTAACAATACCCCAAAATCATTGTGGAAGAAAGTGTGTGGCAATAGCCAGCTGAGAGATAGAGTTTTTGATATCAACTAATAACTGATCACCAGTGGTTCCTACTCTGTGTGTTCCTTAGGCCCCTGCTTAAAAAAAAAATGACAATGTAATTAGAAGCACTTTTCAAAGATTATAGCTAATTACGAAATGTTATTTCTAGATAGGAGTTTTAATGGTAAAAGGCCTGAGATAGCTGTTTTGGCCTTACCATAATAGCATGTGATATTAAAAGAAGCTCCAAAACATTCCAAGAAAGTATTTGGTGATACAAGGAGCAGTGGATTTCCAAGCTCCCTTGCCTCCATGCAGAATATATAAATCTCCTCGAAGTTTCCTGGCCAGACATCTGGCCCAGAACTAGATTAGCACCTGTAAATATTCTCCATGGACTATCTATATCAGAATACCCTCGCTGCTTCATAAAGCTGATTCAAGGTTCAGAAGTTTACATGGAGAGTTCTGCATATTCATAATTTCCTCAAACATTCACACCTATTGTAGAGGTGCTCCACAGAACAAAATGATTGTTCTGACACTATACTAACAATGCCCTGACGCCTTTTCTGGAAAAGCAAAAGAGTGGCCAGATGCCCCAGGAGACATCCAAATGTCACCTACTCCCATTCCAGCATCCATCCCACGTCAGCTTTCTTCCATACTCCCACTTCTATCTGCTCTTTTCTAGTAATGCACAATTATCAGAGCAAAAAGTCAGAAGCTTTATAATTTAAAATCCCTTTAAAATCTAACTTACTATTCAACAAATCTGATTATTAAGATTATAGATTTGGAGCTAAAAAGGGTCTCATCCAACCCCATCATTTTATTGATGGGAAAGAGGCTAAAGCTAGGAGAAATACGGTCCCAGAAATAGTAGGTGGCAAGATTTTAACCCAAGTCCTGTCCTTGGAATGTAGAGCCAGAGTTCTTTCAACTACATAAAGTTCCTCATATATGGAAAGTAGTTATTAAAACTTGTTAAATTTCCCAAACTCAAGTAATTCAGGGCATTATATATTGTAGAAAAACAAAATGTAAGCCAATATAAAAATATAGCACATATGTGGTATTTAATAACGAACTAATAAACTACAAATATATGAAATCTTTTGTTTCATTACATTTAAACAATTTAAGGTTTGAGTTACTTTTTTTTCTTTTCATTTAAAGCCAAATTATTCCAGGTCTTCACATAACCATTCAGCCATGAATTTTATTTGCTTTATTTTAAGCATTTCTTTGCAAATTACATCCCAGTGTATTTCATTTTAACATCTAGATACAATTTCAATTAAATTACATAGCATTAGACTACAAATCCAAGGGTATCACTGAAAGGGAAATTATGTTTAGAGGTACATTTAGCCTTCACACTCATGGTTCCCATTGAGGTTAATTTAATATGACCCCAACAGGAGGGCTTCCAATGGTATTTTTACACAAATACCTAAAGGTAACATGAGCCCTAAGGCCTGCACATACACATAATCTTACTGTTTCTTTCTGGCTGGACAGTTGTAAATACAAATGAGATTCTGTACACTATTCAACCTGACATAAAAATGCTAACAGTGCTCTTAAGGGAAGGTTTCATTCTAAAAGCAATATTCTAAAGAAGGGCAGGTAACAAATAGGACCAATAAATAAATTGTAATTACCAAACACAGTTCTAGCTGGAACAGATTCTTTATTTATCCAGAAAGAAACTTGAGAAAGAATCACAGTCATGATGCATGGGATATATGTCTGAATCATGAAATAACCCATTTTCCTTCTGAGATGAAAGTAAACTGTCATAACAATGTATTCACCTAAAAAATAAAAACAGGAGGAAAATATGTTATTGGCTCTGCATGCCATTTATTTCCACATGCATATTTCAGGCCACCAATTTGTATCTGAAATAACATTATTATCTAAGTTTTGCGACACAAACCAGAGGCTGTGTGTGTGTGTGTGTGTGTGTGTGTGTGTGTGTGTGTGAAAGAGATGCTGAAAGGAGGCTGAACATCACCTTTTTTTCAGTGTGATAATCTCAATGTTTGGGGCTAATAATGACAATGCTTTTTTGGGTGATGGATTACTGCATAATGAGTTCTTAGCTAAACTCATTTAGCACTTAAAGGAATGATGGTACACATACACAGCACAGCCTGTGGGATTCTAATTATTTACCTGGAAAATGACAGATTAAACCTCATTAATTTAGACAGATATATTGATAACAATGGTAATTTGTGTTTATTTTGTTTTGTTTTTATTTTATTTTATTGGGAGAGGGAGGCTGAAGGAGAATTCTAGACATGATATTTCGTATGTGTAAGGAGCTCATTGTGTGGAAACTTCCTCCATTAAAGATTAGCAATTCTATGACTAAAAGTCTTAGAAAGTTTCCTGGGGCACTGAATGTTTAAGTGACTTTCCCACAGTCACAGAGTTAGGATAAATTGGAAGCTGGAGTTGAAGGGGTGTTCCTTACTACAAGGCTGGTTCTCTCTTTTATAGTCTAAATCACTTCTCCTAAGAATTTAGGTCAACAATTTCAGCCAAGAACTTTATTTATGTATATCATAACATTTGAAATGAAATAGATATAGCTACATATGTGGTCATACCTGAATATTCACATGTTCTACAGTTATAATTTTACTGTGCTTTTTAATTTGTTTTTTAAAAAAATAGACCTAATAAAGAAGAACAAACATTTGGATTCCTACTATCTGTCAAAAAAAAAAAGTATTAATAAGGTAATTTTAAAAGACCAACTATAAAACTCCCATAAAGAAAGTTTGGGGAGGAAACTGTGGTTCCCATTAACTGACTATATAAACTAAGGTTTTAGAAGATATCCAAGTTTTTTAAAGTAGTATTGTCCAGCAGGAAACTGAATAAATCATTTTTAGAAATGCATATGAGGTAAGTGAGCTTAGGTCTGAAAATTGAGAAAGAATAATTTTTAACTCACTAGTTAGTGTTTTCCTTTTAAATAAATTAAAATAAAATATTTCATCTTTTTTTCCCATAAATTTTAAGAGCACAGATAGTATAAACACCTTTTATACTTGTCAGTGACATTTTCTCTAGGGACAACTTTAAAGTACTACCTTAAATTCTTCTACATGGCTCTGTATCGCTTGCTCTTCTACATCAGGAGAATTACAAATTAAGCAAGACAAAGATGGCTCTGTGAAAGCATCAGCAACTTCAATGACCTGCAGAATAGCCTTTATCCTAGCTATCTGAAAAAATAAAAATGTCCCCTGCACCTTGGATGGTTTCAATGATCACAACACAACCTTTTGTAGCCTTTCTGACTGGTAACATCATCTGGTTTCCTTGATGGACTTATTACTCAAATATCAGACAGATCCTTTAATGAGTTAAAGAATACACGTCAAAAGAAAGAAAACCTATGCTATATTTTCTATGCCATTCTGCTTTTGGAGGCTTTATCAGAATCCCCTGTAAACAATGGGTAAGACAAAACTACATTGCAGATGCTATATCCCAAGTTCATTCTAGTTGGTAGTCATCTTACCTGTAATAGATTTGATGGTTTCACTGACACTGTTTGCCCAACCAGGTCATACTGAACTAAACTGGAAGACTCTTTTGGAACTTCCACAGACTTCTCAGGACCTTTTGTCCAGGTATAGATCATCTCACTCTTTGGGTAAGCATCTAGACAGCAACATAGGGTAAGGGATTAGGTTGAGGGCTCCAGTCCTTATCCATTTCACACATGTGTCAGGACATGCTGTGCTAGCTTAGAATAGCAAAAACAAAAATTGCTGGAAAACAACAACCTTTTAACTTATTTGGGGTCAGCTTTAAGCTTCCAAGAAGTCTGATATATAAATAAGCCTTGCAATTCATCAGGATTCCTTTTGTTCAGGTCAAAGGAAAATAAACTAAAATGCTGTGTCTGCATCACTGCACATGGAAATGTGCAAGGAAAAATACCAGGCAGTCCATCTAAAATCTTTTCTATCAAAGTCAAATAAATCCGTTCCTTCCTCTCTCTCATCTCTGACTCCTTTCTGATATCGGACCATAACTTATTTCTTCCACATTAATGCAAAATTGCCAATAAGAAAAATACTAGATGCTATTTATAACAAAGGTTGCTATTGTTGGAAGAGATCTCCAGGGGTCACCTAGTCCAGCCCACTGCCTCTGGGCAAAGCACACTGAATCTAAACCACTCTACACAGATGACTGCCTATGCCTTTTTTTTTAAAGCTCTCCAGGGAATGAGATTATATAAACAGTTGCACTATCTTTGAACCTTTACAATCAGGATATTTTCCCTTACATCTATCATAAATCCCAGTAGCTGTAATTTAAATCCATTTCCTCTTGTAGTATTATCAGTGTAAATAAATAACAACTGCTTACCACTCTCCCAAGAGAATATCCTAGCTCAGATACAAGCCAATCCAACATTATGAACATGGAGTATTGACTTCATGGCTGAGACTAGACAGGAAGTGCTACTTGACCCTACCCTACATGAGACTGTCTGTTCTAAAAAACTAACAAAAAAAAAAACCACTTTATAAATTTCATGAGGAACAAAATATGAAGCTATCTGTCTTCACTTTACAACATACAACTATGTAAACAAAATTTCCCTATGGCAATTTCAAAGGCTTTTATTAATATTGTCAAGGCCCCACTGTGCTCTGTACCTCAGATAGCACACCCTTCTGATTCTCCTTCTCCTTCTCTAACCACTCCTCTTCTCCCTAAGCTTTTCATTTGGTAGCTCCACAAAGGTCTCTCCTTGAACCTCTGCCCTCCTTCCTTAGAATTCTAATTTGCTTCCATGGTTCAATTATCTATGACGATGAATGAATGAATGATGAATGAATGAATGAATGAATGAATGAATGAATGAAAAAGCATATGAGCCCAGTATGTATCTCCCAGATATAAATCTTCTAGACCTTCCTTCTAAGCACCAGACTGGAGTTTCCTGGATGTACCACCAGTACCTCATACTCAATATGTCAAAAATAGAGTTTATCATCTTTCCCCCTAAACCTGCTCCTCCTTCTGAATCTCATTCTTCCTATCTGTGGTACTAATTTTAGGTCCCCAATTTTTGTAACCTTAGGAACCTCTAGATTTTGGATACTTCCCTTTCCTTCACCTCTCACAGCCAATCAGTAAAAAAAAAAAAAAGGGGGGGTCTTCTAGATTCTAACTCTACAGCATGTCTCAAATTCATACCTTTCTCTTGATTCCTACTACTTGTTTGGTTTATTTTTAATATTTTGAGGACTGCATTTGAATACAACTGGTTTCCTTTGTAATATTTTATATTTTATTTTATACATTTAAAATCTTTATTCTGAGGAGTCCTTAGACTGCCAGACCACTGAAAGGGTCCATGATATATACAAAAAGTGGATTAAGAACCCCTGCTCTAGAGAAAGTCCTCTTTGGCACCTCAGACCTTCTTGCCTGCACTCTTTTCCCCTTTAATCTGTCCTTCATACTAATGATAGAAAAAGCTTTCTTGGATTAGATCTATGTACATCACTCTCCCTGCTCAAAAACCATAATTCTTTTCTCCTCCTTCTCACAAGTAAAGTTCAAGATATTAAAAGCCATCCATAACCTAGTCTTCCTTTCCAGCAATATCTCCTATTATTCCCCTTTACCTGACATTCAAAGCCATCTGCAACCTGGCCTACAATTTCATCATTATCTGCTATAATCCCTGTCCACACACTCTATGTTCAAATCAAACTGTACAGCTCTGTAGTCACTGGGGTGTTCTCTTCCTTCTCAACATGCATCATGCTATCATGCTTCTCCACTCATGCCAAGGCTTTCCCCTCTGTCTAGGTGCTTTTTCCCTCTCTTTCCCTATGGAAGTCCTACCCATCCTTTAAAAATAAACCCAACTACGGCTTCCCCTTGGTAATCTTTCCTAATACACAATATGCTACAAGTTTGGTTTTTTTTTCCCTCAGAGTTCTCCTAGTCCTTTTTTTGCACTCTAATTCTCTTATCAGATTGGATTGCCTACTGTAACTATATGCATCTGTGTCTTATCTCTCTTAAAAGACTGTAAACTTCATCCTTTTAATCATCTCTCTATATAAAGCAAATTATGAAAACCACCAGGAAAATATTTGATACAGTTTTAGCAAGTTTCTATTTGTAATTAACAAAAAATAATAATTAAAAAACAATGATGGCTGCTGCTAAAAAAAAAAGCAAATCACTAACAAATAATTATTAAGTAGTTTTTATGTACCAGGCATGACACTAAGTACTAGAGATGCAAAGAATATCCATGCTGTCAGTGTGTGTATGTTTGTGTATTTATACATATATACACCTATACAAGTATAAAATTTGTTTCAAGATTTTCAACTTATGAGTAACATATGTATAAGCACACTTATACATAAACGTTTACTCACATATGCATACACGTATGTGTTTGTATGTTCCTTAGATATGAAAATAGAAAAGTACTTTAAAATAGGCACATAACAGTTATTTTTAAAACACTTGTTGAATGAATGGAAGAGAAGAATAAGCACTGGTAATAAGTACCATGCTCTTTACTTCATTCTCATTACAGCAACAAATGTTTTAGATTTAAAATAAAGGCCAATGAGTTGTTTTCCCAATGCTATCTAAGAGAAACTGCATAGGGAAAGGGAAATCTATGTGGATGTGGTATCTGGATCTTAAGGTCCTGTTTCCATAACGAAGTTAGCTAACTACTATCTCCATAGGCAAAAGCTCCCTCCAAATTCTGGGAAACTAAGTTTAGGCGACCACTGACTTGTTCTACACTGATATTGAATGAAGAAGTCATGACAGTAGGGAGCCTCCTATGACTCCCAGGACTGCAAACTAAATTTTGAATTACTCTGAATCATAATCAGTACTTGAATTAGAAGGTAGCACGAGGCAGAATACCACTCACTTCATTTCGTAAGACGCTAAAACTATCCTATCGCCATTTTTCAGACTTGTGATAAATCACTTCATTTGCTTATTAATTTTCTCCTAAAGCAGCTGAATGATCACAGAGTAGCCCTAACCCTATCCCATAAGTCCCTTGTGCTTATACAGAAAAACTGAACAGCCAACCTGAAAGCTGATATGGCAGGATTCTATCATTCCTTTCACCCAAATCGTCAGCAGATACAAAGCCTCAAGGGGCCTTCAAAAATATTTTTGACCCTTTGTTTGAAGATTATCAGTCTTTCACAACTTGTGTTGATTTTGCTTCCCAGAAAAATGTGAAACCTTTTCTGTGATAAATCATGTAAAACTATAAATCTGACATTTTATCCATCCTGCCAAACACCAAGGCTTGCAACCTTGGAGTGATCCTTGACCCTCCCCTCTCATTCACACTCTGTGGAATTGAATGGGTAAGCTTTTTAAGCACTTGCTATGTTCCAATGTTTAGGAAAATAAATAGAAAATAAATACTATCCCTGCTCTCAAAAATCACATTTGAATAAGAAAAGACTACATATATAGAGTATACAGCCATATCCCATCATTTGACAAGTCTTGTTGATTCTTCCTCCACAGTATCTCTCAGTCTGCCTCCTTCTCTCCAGTTCTATAGTCTCTGCCCTACTTCACATCCTCCACACCTCTTGCCTGGACTATTGCAAACAGCCTCTAAATTAGTTTCTCTACTTCTTATCTTACCCATCTCCAATCCATTCTTCTCACAGTTGGGAAATTAATATTTCTAAACAAAGATAGGGCCATATCACTTATCCCACTCAAAATCTTCAATGGTACTGTATCTTATAGTACATTAAAAAAAATCTTCAGCCTAACTTTTAAGGGCTCTACAATCTACCTGCGACCTACCTTTCCAGTCATTTCTGACTATTTTCTTTCATACATTCTTCATTCCAGTCAAATTGGCCTACTCTCTGTTCCCCATATTCCATCTACTATTGCCATACTTTTGCAAGTTGGTTCCCACTGCCTTGAAAGCCATCTCTTAGAATCTCTAGTTCCCTTCAAACTTCAACACCACCTCATCTCTTATGATGCCCGTCTAGTTGTTAATGCCTTGAAATTACTTTAAATTATTTTGTATTTGCATATATGTGCACACGTCATGCCCTGGTCCATGGCCCCAGCAGAATGTATGATAATGTAATGAGAATGTAAGATAAAAGCTCTTTGGTTTTCTATCTTTATATCTACAATGCCTAGTGTGCCTTAAAAATAATAGGTACTTTAGAAATCTTATTATTGAATTCAATAGTTAATTACAAGAAGCTTCATGATTTTAACTTACAACTCCCAAATTTCAAGGGACATGCATGACCATCCATGGGGAAATCCACTAATCTCATGGGGCACTCTGCACTTATGGTAAGCCTACAATGAAACAAAATAGAATCAAAAAGATTTAATCATTTTCATAATCATCCTTATTTCTTAGCATGCATAAAATAAAAGAATTAGTTGATCACCTCATTGTGTATAAAATGGTGCCATTTCTCATAATTCTAAAGAGCTTGTTTGGGGCTGTCATATTATGGGAGACAGATTTTTTCCCATTCCTGAAGAAAGTATCAGGTGTCCACACTTTAGTTACCATCATATTGTTCAGCCTTAAAATTTCAATGGGGCCATCATATTTCAGTCTTTTGTCAATCCATGTTTGCCGAAAGAAGACATCCATTGTGTATTCCTGGGTGAGCAAACAAGAGCAACCCCAACCACAGGTTATTATACATAAATTATAAAGAGAATCAATAAGCACATATGCACAAATGTATACAAAACCACACAAGTAAAACCAAATCAATAGCAGAAGACATTTACAAATGGCAATGGCAAAGAGTTCCAGCAATTAAAACATGTTGTATATGTCTTATGTATACATACATATATGGATGTATATATGCAACATTAAACATGTTGTATATATCATCAATTCCCTGAATTAGTCAGATAAAGAAATCATCATACATATTTAACCATTCAAGAATAATTACTATAATTCAATAAGACTGCAAGAAGATGGCAATTACACTTTCACTCTAATATTTTATATATACTTATATATATATATATACATATACATATATATATGTATATATCAGGAAATAAAATGAGATAATGAATAACAAATGTCATTGAGTTTTTAGAAGAGTAAATTAAAAGAATAAAGTAAATCAACAACTAAAAAAAAGTTTTATGCACAACAAATTAAAATCAGGAAGTAGATATTCAAGTATTTTAAATCATATACAGCTGACTTAAAGGTACTACCAATCATCCATTGTGCACACCAAACATCTTTATGTAACCTTAAGAGCACACACTTAAATAGATGAATTCATTCTGACATCTACCAGAGTTTGGTACACTGAGCTCTTCAAGAAGTAAGGGGGTAAAAAAACATACAACTGGGCCAAAATGAAATGCTAAAATAGGGCCCCTCAGGACTGTGAGATAGCTTTGTGCCAGAAATAATTTCAGTTGTTATAATCTCTAATTTTCTCCATCCCAGTGGTTTTCACAGGGAAAAAAAATCAACTCATAAGATTGTCATGTGGGGAGTAGTAACAATAAAGTTCTTTCCTTTTGTAGAACATGAATCTAGACAAAAATGTACTCAAATGTTAGGGCTGAAATGCAAATTCTGTGACCTCCTCTTGACAAATGTACTAGTCTAATTACTCACACTAGAAACAGAGCTGCTCTTACTCTCCTGATTGACAGCGAAATAAACATCCATTTCCTTCTGTTGTGCATGGTTTCTCCTAACTACAGAAAGCTATTTTAAATTTCTCCAATACCTACCATTTCCACATCAGAAACAGGCCCAAAGCTGGTGACATATATGTCAGTTTTCACTTCTGTAACAGGACCTAGTAGATAGAAAATAGATAAGTGTGAAAAAAATAATCATTAATTTTGCAAGATAACTGGGTGAGAAGAAATAATAGAAAAAATACACAAAGCTCTTTGCAAATTACTGCCTTAAAGTTTCTAGGAGATAAATATCACTAAAAAGTAGAGGTAATTTTTACAAATATACACATATGCAGGCAATAATGCTCAATTAAAGTCAGAAGTAAAATCCAAGTTACTTACCAACAAAGCTATTGGTATCCTAGATCAAAGAATCTAGAGGTAAAAGAGCCCTCAGAGAGCATTCAGGCCAACTCCTTCATTTCACTGATGGGGAAATTGAGGCTCAGAAAAGTCAGTCAAATGAAATACCCAAGGTCACACAGAAGATTTGAACCCAAATCTTCCTTTTCAAAATCTAGTCTTTCTTTCCACTATTGCACACTGTCTCTTAAGATTTTAACACTACTAGAGCCCTAGAAATAGTTAAATCAATATAAAATATATGTAACTTAGGCTTAGCAATGCCATTCTGACTATTTCTCAAAGAAAGCAATATCCACAAATACCTTAGTGTTAACACTATCTTAGTAAGTGTGTTTCTACAAATATATGTTGTCTGTGACAACTGTTATGTTAGTTAAGATCTCTCAAGTTAATCAGATATTAAATGAAGGGTTTATTTGTCCTAACAGATAACAGTTATCCCATGATTTCAAAGGAGATGCTGGCCTTTGAGTGCGATGGTAATGCCAGATGCTTTTGAGAGATCTTCTAGAGACCCAGATCCCTCACAGCAAGGAGGTAATTCATTAAAGGGTGGTTAACATGGAGCTTGCTAATCTGGAAGGGGAAAAAAATCCATAAGAGCTGCCAGAAGTCATTCTTCGCAGAAACATGAATATTAATAAATTGCTCAGAGACAGGAAACAAGGATGGATATGAGGATCAGTTGAAAGTACTGGCGATGTATAGCTTGGAGCAGAGGAACAATGGACAGAATGAGGGACTCAAAGTCAAGAAGACATGAATTTGAATCTCACCACAGAGTCACTAGCCATATTGCCATGGGCAAGTCATTTGGTCTCTCCCAGATTCAGTTTTCTTACCTGTAAAATGGGGATAATAATATCACCTCCTTGAGAGTGTTATGTAAGGATCAAATAATATAATGTGTGGAAATCATCTGTCATACTTTAAAGCACTGTATAAGTACTAGCTATTCAAAGAGAAAACTTAGGGGGACCTGATAATTGTCTTCACATTTTTAAAGGGCTAGCTTCTAGAAAAGGGAATATACTTGTTCTGCTCATTAGAAATCAGAACTAGCAGTAATGGGTAGAAGTTGCAGAGACAAAAAAAGTTGAAGTGAAAAATTTCAACTTCAAGTGAAGAAAAGCCTCTTGACAACCATAGCTATACAAAAAATGGACTACTTGGGAAGGTAATAAGTTCCTCCTCAATTAAGGTCTTTACAAAAGACTGAATGAGGTCTTGTCCCTGAGGTTTATGCAGTCTAATAAAAGATCTAAATTGTATCCTGTGTCAGATACAGGTTGGACCAGGTAGCGTTTTAGATCATTTCCACCTCTGAAATTTTGTGATTCTATCTGATACCAAAAAAAATCATCAGCTGGTAACACCAACACCTTTGCAGATGGGTCATGGAGATGTGGCTAGCAAGTTAAAAAAGATAAACATCATTTTGGTAAGGTAATATTATGCTGATGTTTTTCAAAGGAGAATTACTGTGAGAGAATCAATGAATGCCAGACCTAGAAGGAACTTCATATGTCACCTCTAGCCCATAGCTGACCTAAAATTTCATTTATAATGTCCCCTATATGCTATTATCCAACCTTCACATGAAAATCTTAAATGAAAAGGCACTGTCTTGAAGCAGCTCTTCCCATTCTTGTATGTCTAAGCAGTAGAGTTTCATGAAAGTGTGAGGAGGAGACCAAAAGAGGAGACCAGAGGAGGAGACCATGGTCATAAGCCCTTCATTTAATGTCTGGTTAACTTGAGAGATCTTAACTAACATAACAGTTGTCACAGACAGCATATATTTGTAGAAACACACTTGCTAAGATAATATTAACATTCAAGTATTTGTGGATATTGCTTTCTTTGAGAAATAGTCAGAATGGCATTGCTAAGCCTCAGTTATATATATTTTATATTGATATCACTATTTCTGGGGCTCTATTAGTATTAAAATCTTAAGAGACAGTGTACAGCAGTGGAAAGAAAGACTAGATTTTGAAAAGGAAGATTTAGGTTCAAATCTTCTGTGTGATCTTGGGTATTTCATTTGGTCATGGTCATCCCATTCCTTATTGATCTGTAGCTTTGGAGAACAGAAGTGGTACTGGATTTTCCCAGTAGAAGAGATGGCTCATTATGAAACCACCCAAGGATACTCTCGGTGAGACCATAAGCTACTTGAGGGCAAAGGCCATGTCTTCTTTATTTTAGTTATATTTGCCTCTAGTACAGTCCTTCAAATAGAGTATATATGTAATAAAGGAATTTTTAAATTTAAATTTAGTTAAAAACTAGTTGCCCATTGGACTTATACCAAAGAAGTCTTAGACTGTTATGTGTTGTGTAATGTCTTCAAGCTTTACTCCATAATGTATATGTGCATATGTGTATGTATATGTATGTATGTATATATATCTATGTGTGTGTGTGTATATGTATATATACACATATGAATATATACACACACACATACACACATTATTATCTCTAAGAAGTAGATAGATAGGAAAGGTTAAGGGAGAGGTTAAGGGATAAGGGATCTTTCTTAATTTTTATGCCACTTTTGAAAGGAACTAAGAGTTGATACTGAAAATAGCTTGTCATTTAAAAGTTATATAGATAATACAAATATATATAGATATAGATATAGATTTATGGCTTTCCCATTGGGAACTTGAATTTGAGAATTTAGAAAACACAGAAATTAAAGGCAAAGAATCAATGGAGTTCCCTTCCAAAGCAGAAACATCTTTTTTCAAAGCTTAAAGCATTATAAAAATGTGAGTTACTATTATATACTTGGACTCCATGGCACAGAAAATAATCACAGAATTACAGAATCTCAGAGTTAGACCCCATGGCACAGTAAGTAATCTGTAAAAATTATAGAATCTCAGAGTTGGAAAGTACCACACAAGCCATGTAGTCCAATGCATACTTAAATTACAATACCCTCTACTAATAATCATCCAATCTTAGCTAGAAGACCAGAAACAAGGAAAAATGCATTAGGCCCTGAGGCAGTCCATTCTACTTTTGGGTTATCTATAATTATCAGCGTGTTTTTCTTTATATCAAATCCTAATTTGGTCTGCAACTTCCCCACTGGTTCTTCCCTCTACCACATGACAGTCCCTCAAATACCTGAAGACAACTATCATGATCCACTTGAGTTTTTTCTTCTCCAAATTAAATATTCCCACTTCCTTCAACTCATCCTCAAATGGCATGGTTTTGAAGTCTTTTATCAGCCTGACCTACTTTCTCTGGAGATTTTCCATCTTATCAATTTCCTTTCTCAAAAGTAACATCCAATCTAAGGCAATTCCAAAAGACTCATGATGAAAAATGCTATGAATATCCAAAGGGACAACTATGGAGTCTGAATAAAAAGCATACTTTCCTTTTTTTTTGTTTCTCCTTTCTTGTGGTTTTTCCCTTTGGTTCTAAATCTTCTTTACAACATGACTAATGTGGAAATATGTTTAACGTGATTGTACATGTACAGCCTATATCAGATTGCATGCTCTCTTGGGAAGGGGGAGCGGAGGAAGGGGGGAAAATTTAGAACTCAAAATCTCATAGGAGTGAATGTTGAAAACTAAAAATAAATAAATAAGCAAATAAATTTTTAAAAAGTAACATTTAGAATGGAACACAAATATTCCAAATGTCATCTCACCAGATCACAGTTGAGCAGATCCTTTTCCCTTGTTCTTAACTCTACAACTCTCTTAAGGAAGCCTAAGTTCTCATTAGCCTTTCCAGCTGCCACATCAGAGTGATGTGGAGTTTGCAATCCATTAAACTCTCTAGATGTTGTTTCTAATGAACCGCTGTCTAGTCACACCTCCTGCATACTGTACTTGTGAGAATAAGGTTTTATTTTCACCACAATTACATTTTATCTTACTGGGTTTTGCCCAGTCGCCTAGCCTGTCAGGGACCTTTTGGATCTTGATTCTCTCATTTGGTGAGCCCATCAGTACCCATGGGTTCAATTATAATCTCTATATAGATAATTGCCAAATCTATATATCCAGGACCAGTCTATCTCCTGAGTTACAGACATATATCTCTAACTACTTCTTATATATCTCAGACTTGAATTCTCATAGGCATCTTAAAATCAACATGTCCAAAAAATAACTCATTATTTCCCTCCAAACCCCATTCCATTCTGAACTTCAGTATTACTATCAAGAGTACCACTATCTTCTCAGATACCTCAGTTTACAACCATGGTGTCATCCTCAATTCTTTATTCTCATTCAGCCCGCCCCACTCACCCCATACCCAATGCATTGCCAAGTCTCATGCATCACTCATAAATCTGCCCTTTTCTTTACCTTAGTTCAGACTTTCATCTGTTTGCACCTAGACTACTGCAATAGCCATCTATCTGGTCTTCCTGTGTCAAGACACACTGATTCATCCTCCACTAGGTTATCAAAGTAATTTTTCAAATGTATAGGTCTGAACAAGTCATCCCCCTGCTCAATGAGCTCCAGTGGTTCCCTATTATTTCTTAGATCAATCTTAACTCCACCATTTGTCATCTAAAGCTCTTTATAGCCTGCCCCCTTTCTACTTTTCCATTCTTCTTATACCTTACTCCTTTCCACCCACTCTATGACAGGGGTGGAAAACCTGCAGCCTCGAGGCCACATGTGGCCTTCTGGTCTTCAGGTGTGGCCTTTTGACTGAGTCCAAGTTTTACAGAACAAATCCTTTTATTAAGGGGATTTGT